GGCCGGCCGCTCGGCCAGCTTCGGCTTTCAGCACGGCTCAGCCGAGCCGATGCATATGCGTTCGGCTCGGCTGAGCCGCTCGGCCATAATCGGGAGCTGTACAGGCTATTGTGAATAGCCCGTACAGCACCCCCTCGGTTTTACTGAACCGAAGGGGTCCTGGAGCCGAAGCTAGCCGAAGGATCGGCCAAAGCTATGGCCAGATCCTTCGGCAGCTTCGTGAATAGACCCCTAAATTCCTATAGCACATAAACCCCATCACATTGATGGAGTCATCATCATGATTGCCAGGCAAGTAGCAATTTCCAGATGAAATGTCAGTAATAGTATCGTCCATATTTGTCCCATGAACGATTTCCTTGAAACAAATGATTCGGATATTTAAGGAGAAATAAATACAAGAGTTTTGATATTTATGACTTTCAGCATCATTATCAGTATACTATTTATTATTTGATATGCAACCAGAATTAAATAATCAACTTATGTCATGTTGGGGACATGGCTATTGTTTTGCCTTTACAGGAATTGGTCAAGGAGTCCCGGTGGTGGCTCTTATTGTGGAAGGTGGGCCGAATGTGATATCGATTGTCCTGGAATATCTTCGTGACAGCCCACCGGTCCCTGTTGTGGTGTGTGATGGAAGCGGACGTGCATCTGATATCCTTGCCTTTGGTCATAAATATTCAGAAGAAGGAGGGTAGGCAGCTGTTTTAAACTGTTATATACTTATGTAATTTATAACAAAATAAAACATATGAATACATTTGTTATTTATAAAATATGGTACAATAAATTAATGCCACCAGATCAGGAGTACTTTATCTGTATACATACTAATATTGGATTTAGGCAGACTCACCATTTATTTAAAAAAAAGGCATATGCAACTGAAAAAGCCTGAGCTAAGCATTTGTGTTTATAGGAAAGCTTTGCTTTTAATAAAAAATGTATGTCACACCCAGTATATATTTGCGCCATGGACTATTTTGTAATTTCATTTTATATATATA